GAGAGAGAGAGAGAGAGGCACTTCACAATCTGCCCCTTCTCCAGCCATTGTTTAGAGAGAGAGAGTTGGGGGACTCTACAATTTGTCCCTTCTCAGGCCACTGAAAGCAATTTTGTTGCCATCTGCAATTTTGTATGAGAATAATGATGATTTTTGTGCTATATTTTAGAAAGAATTATTTAAGCAGGTGATTTGGGTTTTCATTGTACTTCTATGTAGCTGTTTATTGCCCATGTGAGCGAGCTGCTGTAATTTTTTCCGGCTGTGATGGCTTATACACTTGCATTTGTTAAATGTTGAGAATCCAATTGCCAGGGAGATGAAAGAGGAGCGAAAATGGAGAGAGAGAGAGAGAGAGAGCTATTGATTCCAAGCAATTTAATGTTTATTGGGGTGTTTTTTAGGGGATTGTCTATAAAAACAATCATTTATCTTTTGTAATCATTCCCGTTCATTCGATGGCAATTTGGATGATTTGAAGTGAGTCATGAAGTTTGGGGATTTTTTTGGAATATTGTGTCTATTCAATGACACTTTTATAATTTTGGATTTAAGGAACAAAAATGGTGGTAATCTGCATGTACAAAAATAAATAGTTTCTTTATAGGCAATCTCACTTTAAAGAGAAAATAATGGATTAGTGTGATGGTAATATTAGGGGTTGGAAGTGGTGGTTTGCGGCAGCTTCAGTGTAGAGAAGACGGTTTATCAGACAAGGGAAAGGGGTAGGGTTTTATTGTAATATAATAGGTTAAGTGTTCGTAAAATCGAACCGGAACGATTAATTGGATATGGGGCTGAAAGCGGTTTAACTTAATCGGTAAATTGGTCGATTCTACTGTCTTAACTTGGCAAGTCTCGGGTGGTCAAAAAATTGTTGAAAAAAATAAAAAATATTTAAACAAAAATTTACTAAAATATGAAAAGCATATAAACAATGATTAAAATGAAATATATTCAAATGAGTTAAAAATTAATGAAAAACAATAGATTTTAAAGCATCAATTTGTGTTTAGGGATATTTTTAAAAATTTTCAAAAAAAATTGGAAAATGTAAAAGTGAGTATTAATGGTCAAAACAATTTTTAATATTTACCATAATGTAAAGAATATTAAAAAATATATTACAAATCAAATTTTTTATTTTGAGATTTATATATATTTTTTTGAATTTTTATTTTTAAAATACCAACTAATTATTGAAACCGTCCGAAATCGGAACTGCCAAGGGATTGGTTCTGATCTAACTGGATGGTTATCGATTAGATCATCCGGTTTTTTTTAACAATAAAAAGGACTGCACTTTTAAAAAACTATGTTTGTGGCATTCATGTGATTCTAATTTTACACATGCTTAATGATCAAATAAAAAATACAAAAAAAATCCAAGCTTTACACATTGTATCGTTAACATGTGTCAATATCCAACAATAAATCGGAAATATCCATTCAGTAAACTTTGAAATCTAGGATTTTACAAAGCACACTGTTTAACTGTTTCTATAAGTCCATGCATAAATGAGTCACCTCTTAAAAATCTTAAGTTTTTAAGGACATGTAATATTCTCCGATATGGAGATCATGAATATGAATAAATAAATAAAATTTGAATTTTAAAAAAATATTTCTATTAATAAAACATTTGGACCATCGGTTTTAATTATTTTTAGTTGGACCACTTATTTGCATCTGTCTTTAAGATGGATGCTTTATACGTCGGGGACAGTAAATGTAGAAATGCGTCGCATGAAACAATTTTACTTTTACAAACTCAATCAACTTTTTCTTTTTTATCTAATAATATTAAATAGGTGCGATTTGTATAAAGCCGAGGCTCTAAACAATCAAAATAGAGCGTACCTTTGAATAATATCGAGAAATGTAGTTTTCAATATTGAAAATCTTTGCGATAGCCTTAAAATGTATTTTCATCTTTAATTATAAAATTTAAAGCTTAAAAAATAGTGCAGATTATGCAAATCTATGAAAACTTGAAACTCTTTAAAATTAACGATCCAAAATGCTTATATGTATTTCTAATGTCCATGCATCTTGATAACGAGATGATCAATTTGAAGACATTTAACAACCTCTTCAATGAAATTTTTGAGGTGGGCTCTAATTTGATTTTTTATAGCCTTGGCTCTATATAAACTTTTTCCACATTAAATTTATCTACAAAATTTAAAAAAGAAAAAAAAATCCCTCTAAGACTTAGATTTAAATCTCACCAAATGGAGAGTGCGTTAATTGGGTTAAAAATTCCTCTAAGACTTAGATTTAGATAGGAAAATGGCTGGGTTTTGGTTGAGAGAGTCGTCTTCCTAGAGGGAGAAGTTGGTAAGGGATTAGGGTGGAGTGATATGGGGGGTTTCATAGAGAGAGAGAAACAATGCGTATGGTTTTGGAGAGGAAAAAATGGTTCGTTAAGTGAGAAGTATAGGTATTTTAATTTTAAAATGTGAACTTTTTATTTATAGGTAGATGAAAAAATAAACCATTTTAAAATTAATAATCTGATATAAAAAATATCATGAGATACCTAAAAAAGTCCAAGTTGAGACGTATCTATATTTGTCCATTTGATTTCCCCTTGAATGGATTTTTGTGGCACGTGCAATGAATTTTTTCCAGCAGCCATCTATTTAGACCCAATGAGAGGGAGACATCCAGTACTATACTCCCTCAAGAGCATAGTATACTTCTACTCTCTTTGTCAGAAAACTTATTTGAGAGGATTTTTTCAATATGAAAATTTGATAATTTTAGAATCACTAAATAATTATTTTCCAAATTTTTTTTATTAACTTTGAGTTTTCTAACCCTTAGATTTCACCTTCTAAAAATTGGATAGTTCAATTTTGAGATATTATAACCTATTCAATCTTGAGATATTAATGTTTAATCAAGAAATTCAATAGTGTAATTAGGAAAATTTTATTGAAGTTAATCTATATATTAAAGAGGTTATCCGTTATCTTCCAAGATTTTGGGCTCTTAAAACTGATCTTACATGGGGTTTTATCCGGGGGAGTAAGTGGACAGTATGCTCCTATGGGAGTAGAATATCTTTTGGGTAGTTAGTTTTCTCGTTTCTAAAACACGTGCACCTTACTCCTTAGAGCGAAAGGACGCTCATATAAGCAGGTCACTGCAATTCGCCTTCGTCTTTCTCACTCTACAATTTGCTCTCTCACTCTAAAATTTGCTCTTCTCCTCTGTATAGTTGCAGGGAGCATTTTTCATGTACCAGTGAGAGAGAAGGGAATTCTTCTCTTTCTTTTTAGAGAGAGAAAGGGAGGCTGTTGTCCTCTCTTTCGATATCTTCGATGGCAGGAGAGGGGCCTGATTCAGAGACCAGGCCCTCATCTCCTTCTCAGAAGAAACCCACCAGTCCCACTTATGTGAAAGCCATTTCTGGTTCACTCGGTGGTATAGTTGAGGCCTGTTGCCTTCAACCCATTGATGTGATAAAGACTAGGTTGCAGCTTGATACCAGTGGTAATTACAAGGGGATTCTCCATTGTGGTACCACCATTGCAAGAACAGAGGGAATTAGGGCGCTATGGAAAGGTCTTACACCCTTTGCGACTCATCTAACCCTAAAATACACGCTGAGAATGGGTTCGAATGCTTTGCTTCAGTCTGTGTTTGTAGATACAAAGACTGGGAAGCTCAGCAATGGAGCGAGAATGGCATCTGGATTTGGGGCGGGAGTGCTCGAGGCTCTGCTTATCGTTACCCCATTTGAGGTCTCTCTCTCTGTAATTTATTTTCATTTGCCATCATAATCCAGTTTGTGTTTAATTGCGGATTTCTGTCACTAACTACAGTGGCCTTCAAGGTTTGGATTGCATGAGTTGTGGAAATAATTTCAGATTTTGAGTTTTTCTTTTTGAATTGATCTACGAAGAAAGTTCTATATAATGAATTTGATTCTATATAAGGTTTGCATGCTAGAATTCGACCCACGGTTACTAAACCTCGGACGTCATCTTTTGATGTGTCTCGGTTGCGGCAAATATTTTTTACGGTTGGCGGCGAAAATTGCATTACAAACTGAGAATTTTGGATTACGGTTTCTTTCATTGAGATGTTTGGGATGAATCATAAGTGAACTTTGAAATTCCCCCTATCAGACACTTTGTGAACTGTGGTGGAAGGGAGGGACACTGCCCACGCTTGAAATCACATTAATGTGAAAATCTCGGTGTGTGTGTGTGCACGCGCCAGCACCCCTCTCTCTCTAGAATGTCCCAATGCACATGTTGAGGTAGTGGATGTTGGTTTGGTAGAGGTTTTATGCTGAATAGTCAAGCATATATGCCATCAATTCAATCAAATTTCATGTATTTACATTACCAACTAAATAGAATAGTTTTCTTGTGTCAGTGTTAGCTTTGGGGAAATGGAAATGGCAATTTTACTTCTCATGCTATGAGATGGCAGTACTAGTACATAATGGCAATGGAGCTGTTGAAATCCTCAGCACATGCAGCAACCTTCTCTATCAACTCCAAATGATGAGAGTTTTGGGGCAGCGTAACATTTTGTTTGGGAGACAAATCATAGCAAGCCAGTCAGTTAGGAACTATGGGCTCTTCTCCTTGATTGTCCCATGTTCACTTTGTATCTTTTTCTTGATAGATACCTTTTTGTAATTATAAAGAAAAATTAGGGGTCCATTGTCTTGTCCTGACTTCCTTTCGATCATCTTTCTATTTAGGAGCCTTGCGGCTTGGTTCTACTTGAGCAGTTTTGAAGATATAATTAGGTTTATATAGAAGTATTCGCTTTGCATGAGATTTAACACTGATGGATTTTATTTGGGGTAGATGCTCAAATGGCAAGTCATGCATCTGCACTGGAAACTTCTCCGAGATACTCATACTTTGTAATTGGAAGCATTGTAAAGCAGGTGCCATTAGCCAAATAGAAGGAGACGCTGTTCTAATATGAGAATTGGGAAATGATGTGAGTGGATTCATTTGAAGTTGGGATTGCATTCTTCTGGTATTATATTGATCGTTGAAAAGCGCCTTGGTGGATTTTCTTGGGAAATTTTAAATAAAGGAAATGCCTATGTTTCATGGTTTTAGATGGCTTCATTGGGAGGGAATGTATGATCCAATGTAAGCTGGATTGTGCATCATGAGGGAGTATTATGGTTATCAAATTAAGGGGATTCACAACTTCTTACTTATGGCCTGAATAGAAAAAGTCGTGAGTTAGATATTATGATTAACTAGGGCCACAGAACTAATGATCAATCTCCATATATTTAGTACTGATGGAGATCAAGAGCTAGATGATCGAAATATTTAATTTAGTTTTTTTTTGTTAATTTCATGGATGTGGGTGTACATCTTTTATTTTATTAGGGTTAATTTTTTTACGAACTATAATATGAGGTTAATCTCCTATAGTTCTATTTTTTTATTTTGAGTTTTTCTATTATTCACGAGTACTATTTATGGGTAGTATTCATAGGCTACTGTTCACAGGGGTATTTCTGAAATTTTAGTATTGAATCTTAAATTGTTTACTTGGATCTCTAGTTAATTTTAGGGTTTCATAAGCTTATGAAAGGTGGGACATCACATTCTAGGATGCTTATGTTATTGGAATGAATTTTATTTTATGAAAGAAAAAAGTTCTTCTCTCTTTTTTCTTTTTATTATTTACATGTATGTTTTTCCTCCATTATTGCTGATTTTTTCTTGTTTGAGGTTCGGGAAAAGGTGGATTTAATTCCCCACCATTCCGTCGTGCATGAAGTAGTATCAGAGCTCGGTTCGAAGACGGTTAGAGATTGTGATGGCCAGTCATGGAAGTTTTAGTCGTAGGGATCCCAATCTAATCCGTTTGCACAAGGAAATCAACAACTTGATGGAGAGGGTTACACAGCTATTGCGCAAGGGAGACATTATGTGCTAAAACCAGGAAGAGATGGTTTAGTAACCATTTCCTACATGCTGCATAGGAGGTTTGGGCACACTTCTTGGAAATCTTCAGGTTCTCATGGATAATGCAGGTTACCGCGGCTGCTCTATTTAGAGAACAGCTTGTCCTCCCTTTCCTTCAAGAGGACTTTACTATAAAAACTATGCCAGGCTGCTATTTGTTGGACTCTTAAGGACAGAGCAAAACAAGTGGACATTTTTTGTTCTTACAAAACCAATATGAAGAAGACCAAGCAATTAGTGCCATCTCCAATTGGGACAGTCAAACTCAAATTTGATGGCAGTTCAGCAGGAAATTCAGGCCCTGCCCGTGTTGGAAGGATTTTTCGAAACCATATGGGAGATGTTTTAATCACATTTTCAGGGCCCGTAGGTTTAACTGATTCTAATGAAGTGAAGGTCATTGCATTGCTCTAGGGAGAGTGTAATGGACCTAAGGTGGCCAGCAGTAGTCTCCACCAATGTTATATCATGGACAAAGGGAGAGACACTGACCCCATGGCTCTCTGTTTTGATGAAATTTGGGACAGATGTACAACCATACAAGTAACTTCTGTGCATACTCGGGGAAAAGCAAATTGCTATGCTGGCTCATTAGTGAAAGTGGGAATTCAAAGGCTGCAAATATTCATAGCACATTCCCCATTGTAATTTCCTTTTTTATTTATCCTGATATTTTGAGCTTAGCAAACATTTTTGAACTTGCAGGTTTTTATTTTGAGATAAACTTAAGTCATCAATCCGGAAATGAAAAAAAGAATAATAAGACTAAAATTTTAGTCTTAAAATTATTTTAAAAACTTGTTTGGGGTAAAAACACTCACTTTTTTTATAAGTATTGAAAGGTCTTAGAGAAACCTATTCAAATGCATAGAAGTAGTGTTTTCTTAATTTTATATTGAAATATAATCTGAGCGATGAGTTTTAATGCTTTAGAGTTTTATGGTTATCTATGGTTATAAACTCAACTATTGACCTTGTTTGGTGAGAGCATTATCTCATTCTTGAGAATGTCAAGAAAACTGTATCTTACTCCTTTTGCATTCTGGTTTGTTCTGTTCTTTTTTGTTTTTATAATAATGCTGCTTGTTAGTGTTTCTATTAAACCAGATCATGATTACATCAATGGTGCGTAATAGCTGATGCCTAGAAATGTACATATATAATAGTATCTAACGAATTGAACCCTGTACATAGAGATTATAACTTTCGAGGTTCTCCTTAATCAATATATCATGTGAGTCTAGCTGTCCATTTTGGCCGTTCTTCCCATGGTGTTGAAACCAGTTTGTATGGAGATCAAGTATTTAAATCTTTGAGTTTGTCCCTCCCAGAAACCAAGCTAATGTACCCCACCTATTCATCTCTGTTGGGTACATGTATGAATGCAATTGGGAAAAATAACTAGAGAACTGATGGGACATAGAAATCAAGGGTATGTTAAACTAGAGGTCAATGGAGACATGATAACTTATTTGTGAGATGGACTCTGCAGCTTATCAGGGTGCTAATTCGTCTCTTAAATTCTCAATATTTCAGATCAGTGATAAAAAATGGCCGGCCCAACTCGGGACTCCACCAAGTCGGCTCGGATCGGGACCCTAGAGAGTGTGGGGAGAACATCGGAAGCACCCTACTCTCACCTTTTTTTACTGTCTTTGGTAATTTTATAACAAAAGTCTTCTACCAACTCGGCTGAGTCAGATCAGATAACTTAGGTTCGGGAGCATAGTTTGTCCTGATCCCTGTGTCCTGGTTCTTCACTGTTTCAGACCTTTAGGACCTGTTTAGGCATTCAAAAGAATTCCATTACAGAATGCAGTTGCTTGGATTAAGTGATTTTCATTTTTCTTTTTGTGCATAGGAATGTGAGAGTTTTGGCTGTGTTTCATAATAAGTGGGGGAGCTGAACCGCCTATAACCTTGAAAAGTGGAGCACACCAAGCTATTCACTCTGCACTCCTAGATGGATCGGAGAGTAATGGACTCATTTCTTAATAATATTTCCGTTAAATGTGCTTGTAAACACTAGAGGAACTTTACAATCCTGTTTTTTATCAAAAAGGAGGCATAGGACCAATATTGGACTTCCTTTTCTAAAGACGACGCAGTATAAAAATAGACTTTGCGTTTGCCCATGAGTTAAAACATGAGTTTATGCATTGGAGTTGGATCCCTGTCAGACCAAATGATTTGTCAACAGATGCTTTGTGGAGTCACTGAGTTGGTTTGTCGACAGCAATGTGTACAATAGAGTTCTGTTTGGATAGAAACCTTTTCCTGATCAAAGGGATCCTGACCTTTAGGAGCTGTTTTGACATTCAAAAAAAAGTTCCATTACAGAATGGAGTTGTTCAGAATAAATGATTTTCTGTTTTTCATTTGTGCATGGGATTGTGAGAGTTTTGTCTGTGTTTTATAATAAGCAGGGGAGTAGAAAAGTCTACATCCTTGGATAGTGGAGCACACCGAGCTATTCACTCTGCACTCCTAGATTGGTTGGGGAGCTTTGGATTTAATTTCTTAATAAATTTTCAGCTAAATTGGGTCCCTAAATGCTAGAGGAACTTTTTTTTTGGAGGAAAAGGTTCTAACGCTAGAGGAACTTTACAATCCTGATTTTCATCAAAAAGGAAGGAGATGACCAATATTGGACCACCTTTTCCAAAGTTGATGCAGTATAAAAGTAGAGTTTGTGTTCGACCATGAGATAAAACATGATTTTATGCGTTGGAGTTGGATACCTGTTGGATCCCAATAATTTGTCGACAGATGCTTTGTGGAGGTACTGCGGGGGTTCGCGGCAATGTACAATAGAGTTTTCTTTGGCTTGAAACCTTTTCCTGACCAAAGGGATTCTGTACATGGGATATTGGATTGGAGGCTATCTGAACTGCTCTTTTACATCAGAAAATGGCTGAGTGGGAGAAGTTTTGCTTATGCCAACTTTATATAGTTAGAAATTCACAAGTGTGAATTAAATCCTAGGTTAATCTTTAGGTTATTTTTTGTTTGTTATGTACCATTTACTATTGTCCCATTTAGAGTCATTGAAGTTGCAGTACAAAAGCTTGAGCATCTGTCAAAGAAATAAGCAGCTAAAAGCCTTTGAGAAGGCATCAACCTGAACTGAACTGGATGTGGTATAAACCAATTCACGAGATTGTTCGATGCAGATTTCAAATGCAATTACCTGCATTCAGAAAGCTAAGGTAGGTTTGCATGAACCGTTGCCCTTAAAGTTCACACATTTTACTAGTAGAGTTTGATATAAATTAGTGCGGCACCCAAATAAAAGTTATATCTTTTTTAGGGTCATTGAGATGTTGGCCACAATTTACAATTGAGATACTATGAGTATTGTGGATGTTAGGAGTGGCAACTCATGTGGATTCATGAATGAACAATTTACATTTGAGATATGATGAGTATTGTGCATGCTAGGAGTGGCTATTCCCATGGATTCATGAAGACCAAACTTGTCCAAGGTCTTCCTGGAAATCCCAGTAATACTTATCCTTTTAATCTCAGATTTGCGTAATAAAAATTCAATATGCTCGACATGGAAGTATCGAATATTATTACTCCCCATGAGGACTACAACATAGACATAGTTCCAAAGGACTGGGACCCATATAGAACATTGCAATTGAGACGTGTACTGGATCTTCCATCTAATGTGGTACTCCCACTCACTTTTTGGCAGCCAGAACATGTTTCCAGCACATTCCGTTCTCTTGGGTTCCTCCTTTTCTTGGGAACTCCTACTAGGGTTGTTAAAGAAAATCTCTCCTCTCATTTGATGGGGTCCAATGTGCATCTATATAATGCATCACAAGGTATATTTTGCGTTTTAAATAATGGGGATCAATTTGATTCTAGATCAACTTTGATAGAGAACTCGAGCATCAATATCCTTCAATTATTCTAAAAGTATATTTATTTCTAAAATTTTTAAGGGGGCTGCCATGGCACTCCCCAACTAAGGTGCTTCTGGCAAGTGATTCCTCACTCCAGTTACTGCTTCCACTCCCCATCCCACTCAAGATAACTACGTTCTGAAATGAAAGAATAATAAGCCCGACTGCTAGTGGATTTTTTGCGGCAGCAAATGATTAGTGGATGTTAAGAATTGATAAAACGAGTTATTTCCCTTATAGAACTCTTGTGAGGAGGGGGCTGTGGTGACCAAATGATACAAGGGTAGAAATACAGATCTAGGATTGTGAATTAGTATCATGGTGGGCCCCACAATATTGAGAGAGCTAGAATTAGAGAGCACAAGGCAAAGATTCCATACATCAAAATTATGTTTTTTTCTGAAGATGGTGACAATATATTATTAAATTATATATAGCACAGAACATTCTCACGAGTAGTGAGACAATGGCAACCCACAAATTGGGTGCTCTTATACAAAAAACTGTATTGTATAATCAATCAATGTGTACTTCCGAACCCCAAAGCGAAGAATCAAATGGAGGACCGGGCGGAGAGGGGTGAGAAGAGAAGGGAGTGGAGATACTAGGCTAATTTGGGTAGAAGTGAGTGGGGAAGTGGGTGAAGAGATCGAGAGAGGGTACGAAGGAAGGAGAGAGAAAGGAGGAGGAGAAGAGAATAACATGGAGGGGTTTCAGGGTAGGAGGAGAAAGACAGTGGCAGGAGAGGGATTGGGGTCACCTACAAGGATTCAGTGATGCATACTTTTATTCTATTTTTATTTTTTGGAGGGGGTGGGGTGGGGGGGGGGGGGGGTGTGGAGGAGGAGATGGAGGAAGAAAGCGGTAAGAGAGTGAGGAAAAAAGAGAGGAGAGGTGGAGAAGAGAGGCAACCACAATCAGTCAAGAATAAAAACACAAAAAAGGTCATGAAATTGGCGAGGGCTATGAGATGGAGGCACCCTCTTTGGCTAAAGCATCGGCCTCGGTGTTAGCCTTCTGCCAAGTATGACAGATTGGAAGCTGACTTGAATGCCTGCAGAAATGAAGAGCACAGTGAAAAATATGAGTGAGACATCATGGACACTGGGCTCTCTTGTTGGCCCAAAGAATGATATAGGCATTATTATCCCCTTCCACAATTAACTTATCCCCCCACCTGGGGTCAAACCTAAAGAGACCTTTGAGCAAAGCACTGGCTTCGGCCTAAGTGGAGTCAACGATGCCAAGAAAGCTGTTGAAGGAAGAAATGTTATTCAATAAAATCATGGAAAATTCCAACATATCCACATGGTCCTGGATTACTGAACGAGCAGCCATCAAAGTTTAATTTGATGGCACCCTGATTGTGAGAACACCAATGGGAAGAACGAGAGGGCTTGGGGGGTGTAAACTTGATTATATCTGCCCAATGAGAGATGAAGTCTGGCTTGGCAAAGTCTCAATGTTTTGGAGTTAGCCAAAAAATGGAGATTGCGAGCCTTCCAACCTATGGAACAATATTGGCTGAACAGCTCAGGTTGAATCCGGCTGATCTGGATGGCCAACGTGGCATGTGAGCATTTGATTTTTATTTTATTTTTTCTTTTTATGAATCTGATTGATCTGAAATTTTTGGGGCATGTGCGCCTAAACTAAACCTTCCACAAAAAAAATGCAAAAAAAAAGAAAAAGAAAAATTGGTCAACTGTGCCTACCGTTGGCATTGAATGCTGGCTGTTTGATGGTTCAATTGGGGCCGTCCTGGCTACAACTATTCCATAGGTCAAGAAGCTCATAAAATATTTATCTTTAATTATAATAATAAATTTATATTATACAGTGGTAGAATATGGGTTGTAATCTTGTGATTTGGTGAGTTCTTGTATTATTTCTAATATATATGTCTTCCTCCTGTCGGTTTTGTTGCAGTTCTTTTATCCATGTTTTTGGTCATAATTGCTTCTCTATGATTGTAACAAGAATTGCACCTTTCAACATTACCAGCTTACATCCCTCCCTCTCTCCTACCCGCCTAACTAACTGACCAACCATACAAATCAAAATCTATTGCAGGTGGTGAAAATCAGACTGCAACAGCAAAGAGGACTAAGCCCTGAACTCCTGAAATACAAGGGCCCCATCCATTGTGCCCGGATGATCATTCGTGAAGAAGGTTTTCTAGGTCTATGGGCAGGGGCTGCCCCTACAGTGATGCGTAATGGGACAAACCAAGCCGCCATGTTCACAGCCAAGAATGCTTTTGACACTGTACTCTGGAAGAAGCATGAAGGAGATGGCAAGGTTTTGCAGCCATGGCAATCAATGATTTCAGGTTTTTTAGCAGGAACTGCTGGCCCCATATGCACTGGACCTTTTGATGTAGTAAAAACAAGGTTAATGGCTCAAAGCAAATCTGGAGAAATCAAGTATAAAGGCATGGTTCATGCTATTCGAACTATATATGCAGAGGAAGGGTTATTGGCGCTTTGGAAGGGGTTGTTACCTAGGCTTATGAGAATACCTCCAGGCCAAGCCATCATGTGGGCTGTAGCTGATCAGGTCACAGGCCTCTACGAGAGGAGATACATACACAAGGCTACTGTATAACTGTAATTCTAAGTGAAGAAGATGCATGCATGGGCCAGTGTATAATTGGATCTAAAGAAGGCGAGATGAAAGGTTCTTCTGTTTCCTCTCTGATGGTTTCTCTAAATTAGTCCTTTTCATTGTGTGGAATCTTATTTCTTGGAGATGAAATAAAAGCGAGAATTGGGGTCGTCGGTTTTATTCCACCTCTGCTTTGTTGAATTCGTTTATGTGAGGATTTGAAGGGATGTATTTTAAAAGAACATTGGGAGATCTTTTTGTAATTTTGTAATTTTGGGGGCCAAGAATGAGATTTTGGGGCTTCGATTTGCTTTCATTGCAATTGTATCTAAATCAATCGACATTATGGTTAAGCAAAATAATGAATTTAGATTACATTGCATTGCGTAGCTAAGGATGGGGAGGGCAAAATTATTTTTATTTAATTTAAAAGGTGTGATGGAGAGCAAACTTTTATGTTTTGATAGGTCAGTGATGAACAGTAGCTATGGTGAGCAAATCTAAATACTTGTAGGCATAATAACAAGATTGAATGTTTCAGAAAAATCGACTCAAACAATGTGATTGTGTCCTTTAATAATTAGTCTAGCCTTAAGTGTCTCTAAGCAGCCATCAGTGCATTCATATTTGAAAAACGTAAAATTAGCTCCCTATTCATGCTTGAAAAATGTGAAACTAACTCCCCAGTAGTTAACATGTAGGATTTCAATTTCTTCTTCCATTGTAAAATCTCATCCTAAATGACTCAAGGCAGAAAAAAAAGATGCCTTCGTAGCTCTTCTTACATAGTTGTTCTCTTTAAGAAAGCATGGGTGTTGCATGGTTGTTCTATTCCAAACATAAAAGATTTTATAGAAAATGAAGGGAAAAAAATTGATCATTCACCATCTCAGATTCTTTTCCACAATGCATCTTTTTAGTATGTGCAATTTGGTTGGATTCAATATAGGATGAGGTTTCCATGAGGCCTAAGCTTCAAGAAAACAAAGTAAAACCTCATCTCAAATCATTGTCCAGAAAGCACTTTTGGCAAAAGAAATCTCTATGATGACTCTTAAAATCAATTTCCAACACCAACAATAAAATTTGAGAAAAAAAAAAAACAGTTCTTGCAAATCTATGGACACTTATTTTTAGGGCAAAATTGATGGTTTAAACAATTTGTTACGGACACCATTTTTAGAGCTTGAAATTCTTTCGTTTTTTTCCACAACCATAATATTCAAGTCGAAATAATTGATGTAAAGGTTTTCCAATGTTCAAGTTGAAATAATCGATGTAAAGGTCCTCCCTCCCTCCCTCCCTCCCTTTCTCTCTACATTGAGGAATGCAGTGCCTACAGAATGCAAGTACTTCGGGTGCAAGGACTGAGCCCTTGTGGTTTCCTCATGCTCTTTTTTTCTTTTTCTTTTTGATGGTTTAGTTATGGTATACAAGACGCATTGGATGCTGCTGCAGTAGTCAAACAACCTGAGAAGACAAATGTGGTCCCCATTCCACTCATGTCTCATGCTAAATCTCGATCTTTTGCTAAGTTGTTCTGGCCCGAATACGTTTTGGAAAAAAGAGGATATTCTTTCTAAAGCACATGAAGTGCCTATTTATATCCTTCCGATTAGCTCGAATATATTACTCGTATGACTAAATTCGGATCCAGCATTTAACCAACTGCCATGCTCTGTTTTTGTTTGGATTTTGTCAACTTTAAATACAATAACATAAAATAAAATGATTCGATCATATAGAAAATCATACTCGGCCTAAGCAAGGAATAATTAGTGAACTCTTTGGTGGTTGCAGTTCACATTCTTTCTAGAACCGAGAGAGAAACACTGGCATTAATAGCCTGAAACTTTCAACAGGCTGATGGTCTTATACATGAATTACTATTTATTCACCACCTCAAGGGTTTCCCCTCGCTTCTGGAGAGAGAGAGAGACACTAAGCAATATATTCCAGCAAAAATGAGATGGTTATTCAGGGAAACCAGATATACACCAACCAAGGAAAAACCCACCTTGCACTGCGAAGTACCACAGCTATACATCATTGGTCCCTCTTATTCCATCCAGGGATCTTCATTTATGCTGCATACCAGTACATGATTTCCCAAAGATGCATCCAAATGCTGTTCCACAGTCATCCTCATATCAGACACAGGAGCACACAATCGCTTTGCAGCATATCAATGTGATAACTGATAAGCATAGTGGAAGTTCCAAATTCGTATACTTCAATGGCTGTATGCCAAGGCTGTCACCAAAATACCAAGTACAAGAAAGGGCTGAGCGCTGGCCTGTGAAAAACAGATGAACAAAAACCAGTTTTAAGGACTTCTATTTAAATTTCATGGGGGGGTAGGAATCAAGCAGATGAAAATTGAACTCCATTGGATGATAGTACTACTTTACCCCCGTCTAAAAATGAAATAAATCAAGACGTAATCAATGGGAAGAGGAGGTTACCTGATATTTGACATCATATTTTATTGGGTCTTTCAGGAAGTACTGAAACTGAAACATCATCCACCAATATATTAGTGCATGCTGAATATGTTGCCATGAAAAGAAAATATTTTCTCCTAAAATTTCTTCTGCGCTTCTTAAGTCTTGGAAGACATCATGAAGAGTCCTCAGCCAAAGGCCAAAAAATTGTCCCGATACAACTACTACCTAAACCTGAAAATTGGATAGAGCTGCCAGGACTAGGCTATTCTACACTAAACATATATTACAACCATTCGCAATGGCACTATGGTGGTCCGTGCAGATACTTTCAACTCATTGTGGGGCCATCTAATAAACTAATATCAAAGAAAAGCCTAAAAAGAAACAATTCGACGACACCTGTACTTGTTACTCTACCTGGAAAATCATTTGGGGAATGACCAAGCCCATCAAAGCCAATGCATAATATGTTTTTCCAGTTGCTAAGAGATAACCTGCAGTATTTAACAACAGAGAAAAATCAACGGCATCCGCAGGTATATCCATTGGCATTCTTTTTTAGTTAAAAGAAAAATGGAAAGGAAGAGAGCTCATCACGATTCTACAATGTGGAAAATTGTGTATTATGCATAATAATCTCTAACCTATCCACAGTAGAAAACCTGAGTTGGGCCCAAAACTCAACATCACATTTAAGGGATTGAAAATTGAAGAACAAATAGGCGAAGTCCTCCAATCTAATCATGCAGAACTCAGAGCTGAGCCATGAAAAAAAGGTAACAGTTTGTGAAAGCAAACACGCAGATGTTTAACTCTTTATGCGTTTAAAATAATTGATATCATGGTTAGAACAATGACTATTCTAACTTGATAGTAATGATTTTAAAATATTGTTCTAACATTGGGAACCAGTGAGGTAACCATTTCTCAAAAAAAAAACATTGGAACCAGTGAGGCACAGTTGGTTCCTGAGGTTTTTCACTCAGACCCGGCACCCTGCTGGTTTAGAAGAATCCCTTAACATGTAGACTCCAAGATAAGTCTAAAAGTGCTCCTGCCCGAACAAATTGAGGTTGATGGTCACTTCATCCAGGAAAAGTTTACCTACACATCTCTTGGCAATAAGTCTGCTCATAGCAGTTGGCAGATCTATACTTTGGCTATAACCAGCACATTGGCAATGGATCTGTCACATCAGTTCTGGGATTTAGGGTGGGTGGAGGGGTGGCGGGATGGGTTATATGGGTATGTTAATTGTTAATTTAATCCCATCGTGCAAACTATTTGACTTGTATCTGTCTTCTTCTCAAGCGCACTATTGGAAATGTATATATGCCCAATAATGAAAAGGTCATTTGGGTTTATATATTTATATATTGTTGTTTGTAGTCGTCTCTTTTTTTTTATTGTATGCCTTCTTATGTAGGATCTGATGAAATAATAGGCAGTGTACATTCTCTTCCTCAAATGTCTTGTACTATAATTGACCTCCTTGTATTTTGCTCTTCATTTATCATTTGTTTTGCAGATTCACATATTTGAACAGCAAAATCCTCTCATGCTTTGATTCATTTCTTTTGGTTAAAAGAATATATAAAATGCAGGAGACACCGATTCATAGAAGAAAGAAGTTGTAAAGTTACAGTTAAATAATTCAGGGTCAAAGCATGCCTCAACAAAGACTAGAAAATCCCCACAAAAATAGGAAAATAGCAGGAAAAGAACATGTGCAATCTACCAAGTGTTCAGATGAACAGCAGAAACCAACTGATCCAAATAGGAACACACAGAAAAGAGTAACTCAGAAGCTTCATATAATAATTAGTAAGGATGACCAACATACCAGCTACTGATATCTGTGTAATGTCTATTGCACCGACACAAATCCATTTGGCAGTATCAACACCAAATGCCACTGGAAGTGACTGTTAGAACATTAAAATATAACATAAGATGTAAGAAACTACCTCAGACCATGTTCTCGTTATATTGTTGGACAAATGAGTATGGAATAAAGAGAGACCTGCAAACCAAGTGCTCTATCTCCTTCTATACTTTTGAAGTCATTTATGATAGCAATACCTAGCTGCATTGAGAAACAAAATCCATGTTCGATGATCCATGAACAGTGAATAATTTCAGGAAAACAAGCACGAAAGAAAAGTCATACCCCTGCAATGCTGTACAACACTGTCAATACGATTACATCAGGAGTAAGGGTTCCAAATAAAGCTTGACCAGCCCACCTATAAACAAATTGCATTCAACATAGAGGTCCTCTCAGGTGATAATTTTGCATGACTAAGTCAAACTTGATTTGATAAGGAAGGGTAAAAATGACGTCATTTCATCAAGGGGTGGAAATTATCTAGTCAACAACTCTCAAGAAGAAATCTTCCAACTGAATAAACTACCAAGGCAGGCTTATGTAGCTTGCTCCTAGCGCAAAATTTCCGATCCATCCATTCTGCTTGAGCTGCAAGGAGAAAATATTAATATCGAGAGATATGAAGAAGATTCCTTCTTCATGCCATAGCATGTCTCTATAAAGGAACGAAATTTACAATGGAAAGGAAGAAGGAAAAAGATGAACCTTAAGAGGTGGAGCAGAATATATGTATGACAATAAGGATCCACCCACTGCTAGACAAAAAATTATAGGAAAACTATGCCCTGCCTGAAATGAAACTAATGTTTCAGAAGTTGGTACTTAAGTGGAAGTAGCACATCAAGGACAAGTTAGTAAAACCCCAGCAAACGCTTATTACAAAGACTCACCCACACATCCAGCAGAACTGCCAAACCAAGGCCACCAAGGAGCAGAACCCAAATCTGAGTAATCACCTAATAACATGCCAAATTGTTAAAAAAAATGGAATCCCAAATGAGATTAACAATAAAATCATAATAATTGGACTTTGATATGATGGATCTAAAGTTAAGTTTTGATCATGTATCCTTGAAAAAAATATTTTCTTTTTGATCTCCTCCAGTATCCTTTCTATAGAGATCTCAAAACGACTTGAAGAGAACACATTATCAGATACATCTGTTTGTCTGTAAGCGGGTAAACATGTCCATATGTACTATGCACATTTAAGCAATATGTCATACATATTTCCATGCATAGGCAAGCGTGCACAAGCTCATGCACCTAAAAACAAATATCTTTGCATTTTCTGACATACATAAAGATACAACTCTATCCGTTGAAAAGGACAAATCCAAGTATGAGCGAGACAGATAAGGAATGGTGACAGGTGGTGCTACTCATGAACATGAGCAAGTTAATGAATATACAGCTCCTCATCTGCTAGTGTGAATAACGTACTTTTGTTTACCCTAAACGTTTAGAAAATATCAGCTAATTAAGATAAGGATTATTGAACTAATATGAAATATATTAGGCAGATACATAAACTGAATTACATAAAGAAGCGTCTGTAACAAAAATAAATATATAATTTCTATTGATTATGTGGCCTTTCAAGGCCTTAAAACCAATAGTCTTACGCTCAATGGGAGTTAGAGAGAGACTAAATCTAGGTGCTTGACGCACTGGGGCCTAGATTCATATACCCCGAGTATTTGAGGCATTGAGAAAATACGTTTTGAGAGTGTGAACTCTCAGGGAGGTGTGAGGGTCACCTCTCAGTCAGGACTATATTGATTGGAATGCCTCATAGTTGATGTGATAAGCCAGGACTTGGAGAACCTAATCGAGAATAATAGAACCCCAAGTATTTAAAAGAGTATTCCCCCTGTATGGAATGGTCGGTTAATGGGACATAAGCCTGTATCATGACACGAGACCGTTCCATGGCATGTGCACCCACAGTCGTGTGGGGAAGCTACTCTTCTATAGTATTATCCAACTTAGAAGAGCTAGTGCGCATGTGCTTTGAGAGGACCCCTGTATTTGAGTAGGAACATGTTCCACAGGAGTACACCAGTAATCCATTGAACCCCTGGTGGCGGGAAGCTTTGGCTCAGCGACTTTGATGTGAGCAATTATGTATCCCTGTCATAGACTATGGAGCATAGCTCCATTGGGTCAGCTTGAGATACTGGTGGAACGTCATTCAAGTTAGCCCAATGGAAGACTCCGACTAGTGTTATAAGTCTAGAGACTCCATATTAATCTAAAATTGATGAGAAAATATTTTATATAGATGAAAAATTGTGTAATAATATTGAGAAATTATTTAGAGAATTTTTAGGATTTTTGGAGATTTTTTCAGTTTTTTTTTAAACAATAAAATATGATTTTCAAATTTGTTTGACATAAATACCAAACAAAGACATTCTATGGGGATGCCACATGGATCCCAAGTAGCTATAGGGATGCCATGTGGCACCCCCACCTCCCCAATCGTGGATGACATCATGCTGACATCATATCTATGTGGGGACCTATTTATCATTAATTCTTTTGTTGGTATTATGTTATAACATGTTGTCTTGTTATTTAAAGTGTTATATATTGTTATGACTTACGTTTGATTTAAGTCACATGTTTTTTTTTTGGCTCATATGTATCATTTTTGGCATGTGTGAAGTCATGAAATTTTGAGAATTAATTTAATTCATATTATTATCCACATATGATTTTATAGCATGTAAGTGTATCTTATGTGGCACCACCTTATGGACTTGACCCATGTGAAACGTTAGTGTTGTTAAAATCCTATTGGTGGTGTCATAAGATATTTTATTCACATGTGTGGATGTCTCATATTACATTTATGTCCATATCCTTCTATTTTATTGACTCTCACAAACTATTCAAAAACCAGGGGTATAAGTGTAAACATGAATTTGGACTTAATGGGAAATAAAACATGAAGCTAAGGATTTCAAGGTAAAATGACTATAAACCTAGGTTTTAAGGAGTGAAAGGTGTCAAAAGCTCATCCATTGATCTTGGTGATAAGATATGGAAGAGTAGCTTGGATAAAAACCTCTCATGTGCTATTAATCTAAGGCATCAAGGATCAAGATCAAATCCATCTTTATGATCTAAGTATAAAAGTAACTTATGGGATCAATTATAACCCTAACTTGAGTATTCACTTTAAAGAGAAAGAGAGAGAGAGCCCTTGAAAAAAATGTGGTCACCCATGAGACTATCTTCTTCCTTGAGCTTTCATTTGAAACCTTTCCATAGAATAGTCCATCATTTATGTGATCAAGCCCATACTATTGCTTCATTAAGGTATTTTTTTCTTCTCATATTTTTAATTCCTACCTCATTTCCATTATCAAAGCTTGTTGTAATTCTTAATTTACAGTAGCTTTCTTCATTTTTGGTCATGAAAACTTGATATTTGAAGAGTCCCAAAACAATAGAGTAGTCCATACACATAGTATGTGTGGACTAGCTTACTTACTCCATGATCTTGAGTAGTTTCAACTTGATTTCTTAATCTTATTTTTCTGAAATTTTTACTGAGAATATACAACTGATGAGAGGTTTATTTCATCATATTTGAGCATAAGAAATAGTCCATTGAGTTATCTTTTTAATGTTGAAAAGTTCGTGTGGTCCCTTATGGACCACATAGTGTAGTTTCACCATAACTTTCTTATTTTGTGTAATATCTCTCTCAAACTTGGAAGGGTTATTTTGATACATGTCTCTCTCATGATTTGATCCCTATTAAGTGAAATAAATGTGATTATTGCTTCCCATTGGATTGATCTCCTTGAGTTATTATTATCACCCGTGCTTTAGACAATGGGACAAAATTAAGTCCTCAAAAGGCCCTTTCGTGGCCCGGGCACAAGGGGTTCGAACCATGGTTTCTCCATGTATGTTTGCATGTTAATTTGATGTATTTACAGTTATTAAATAGATTTATGATTGGTTCAATTGAGTATGTTGTGTGAATATTGAGATTGCTTTTTAATCTTACGGTATGAGCTTTAATGCTATTCATTATTGTTTATGCGAATTGAAATCTTATTGCGTTATTATGATCAAGAGTATGATGTGTATGAGATATTATGATATATGATGAGGATGAAGAATGAAGATGAAATTATCATATAATTTTGATATAATGAGGAATTGCGAGTGCAAGTCATGCAATATGTTGTAGAGATGTATAATGTGCATATTTGAATATTGTATTCAGTTTAATTGAGTTTTTGAGTAGGGGATTTGTAAGGGACCTATTAGGGTTGAATTTTATTATTCAAATGTGTATAAACCATGTTTGTAGGCTGGAATATATGTATTATGGTTTTGTATTGAGATATTCATGCATTTAAATCATTGAGTTTTTATACAATGGAAAGTTTTTAAAAGAATGCATTTCTAGCCCATTGGTCTTATACCACCAACAATTTCAATGGAATCACATCGTTCCAGTCAAATGCAATTATCCGTTTCTTTGCCATTAAATTGCTCAAGTCTTGTTGATGATCAAGATAAGCAATTAGATACCGATGAAATTAACCACAACCAGCTGCAGAAGAGTCAACCAAAGAAGAGAAAATGCAATATATGATCATAACAAACCAGAGAGTAATTCACTTACTTCACCCTCTGATATTGCTCCTGATGGAATTGGACGATAGGGTTCATTAATCGCATCGATTTCTTTATCATAATAGTCATTTATGGTCTGCATACAACACAAGAGTAACTCAAGAAAAATCTAGAATATGAAATCCACTTAGAATAAAGATTTGAGAGTCAAAGCCGGATAACTAATATAAGTTAATTTCATGATGTTATGGTAAAGAACTTACCTGTGTATAACCAGTAAGAAAGGGTCCAGACAACAACATGCAAACAATAGATTTTGCCACATCTTCTATATTCCAGTGAAAGTTGCCTGCATTGAGAAATTGGCTTGAAATGATATGCTGGACTCACTTATCTACAATGCAGATAGATGCCTAATCTTATTAACAAAAAAATAATTCAAGGGAAACATCTTGTGCCTTTTCTTTGTTAACCAAAAGGAATTGATTAGTTAACTATTAGATGCTTGCTCTTTAAAATAGTATGCTTCATAATGTGCTACCCAAACTATGTAATTATATAACTAGAGATGTGAATGATCCTAAGGATAATTTTATGGGCAATCAATTGGGGAAATATTTGAAAAGGACAAACAATAGAAAGAATGTGGGAGATATTGCTCAAAGCAATGGTACAAGTACACAAAAAGCTCAAGCTTCCAAAGCAAAATAAACAGATGAACTCTGGCATGGCCCCTTTTAGTAGATTGATTATCTTATGGTATTTGGAACACTATGAGAGAATGAGGAATCCCAAGATGGTAATCTTCTAAATTATCTTCTACAATTGATTAGTTTCATTTTGCCTTCTTGTGTAAGGATTATGGTACAATTTTATCTTCTTTGGTTGATTAGTTCCATAATACTTAACATAAGGGTCCTTATTGCCAAGATTTGTATATCCAGTCAAGTATATAAATGGTTGGTTGTCTGAATTAGTATCTTCTCAAGTTTTGTTTCACAATGTATCAAAATCGATGCATCTATGTTGTCTAGTGGACAACAGATATGGGGCCCATATAAGAAGCTCAAAATATGTTTGCTTTTCCTTTAAAAAGAAAAGGCAAAGAGGAGTCTGCTATGCTCAGTGCGTGTGTGCAAGCATATGAATGTATCTGGTGCATGCATGCACACACGCACACACACACACACACATATATATATATATATATATATATATATATATGTAAAAATGTTTACATAACTTCAACCTGCGTAAAATGTCCACCTAAGCAGAAAAAATATTTTAAGCTTCAGGATCACATGTTGCTTATTACACATATTTGTTACTTCTTCTACCACAAATGGAGAAGGTACAAAACATGAAATTGTTAGGATTCAAGCACATACCAGAAGCAGCAGCTCCACAAACCACTCCCCATACCAATGGAGGCCAAGTAACAGGCTTTGTTAGCTGGAGACGAATCTTCCATGTATTCTGCAAATTCATATTTTTAATCAATTCATAATGCGGAAACCAAGAATTTCAAGGATTATAATATACCAACTAGTTTTTTGTATTGTTTGGTTTCTAAAAAAAAAGCTATATCAATGCTACACATTCTATGGTTTATACTTACATTCTTACAGGCATGGTTCACTAACAATATACATTTATTTAAAGATAATTTTTGGATGATACTGTACTATTTGGTACATACCGGTGGCTCAAGCAATTGCCCAGTAGTTTGTAATGAATGCTTTACGTCAATAGCAAAGCATAATATTTTTTTTGAAAAGGAGAACTTCATAAATAACAAACCTAAAGAGAAAAGAAAAAAATAGAGGAGAAAAGGAAAAGTCCCTAAATAAAGAATGCCCCCCCCATTCCATGATCGGAATTTCCATCCCCACTCTTAAAAGCATTCTTCATGATATTTTCACAAAGACGCTCCATCAACCTGCAGACCCATTGAACAACATTGAGCAGAACACTTCCACAATCAAGGGACCGAAGAAAAAGCAAAAGACCATAGAGACAAAATATTGAAATTGTTCTTCTGCCTCAACAGGGTCACAAAATCCAGTAGGTCCTATAAGGGTCCTATTAAGCTCTGCCTTGGCTGGTTATATAACTAAGCCACCCAGTCCAAGAGGCCCATCTTGGGAGACGCTATCAAAGTAAAATTTTAGGATACCGAACAGCAGCTTAGCCCAAGAAAGTCAGATTCTTCGCTTAGTCCATAAACCAGGTCTGAAGCCAAAAATTTATTTGAAGTTAACAACCTACAGAATCACAGAATCCCTAAAATTGCAAACAGCTTCCAAGTAAAGAACCAATTTTGACCAATTATGTACAAGACCAGTATCTAATTGGCACATCCACCTATGAGGGCATAACCACTCAGAAAAAATAAAAAAACTGAAGTAAGTTCAGGAAGATTTCTCATTGTTTGCTTTTGTGTAAGGACAATATAGAAGGAGAACATCTCAAGAAAGGGAACACCTACAGTTTCAGCTGCTGTCCACCCTATGCGTGAAGGGAACAATTGGACTTCAACTTCTACATCTTTGAAGATGGTGTTTGGAGCTAGTCCACAATAACCTCATCTCGTGTGACCTCCATCCAAAGAGAAAAAGGGCAAGACGTACCACCCCTCTGCCCACTAGAGAATTAGAACGGATTTACTAAAAAAAAAAGCTCAAACTATCTGATTTCCATTGGTTTTATTAAGAAGTCTAACTGGGATAAACTATTCTAAAAAAGCACCCCAGCAGATCACCCTCTCAAGAAAAGGAAATGAACCACCCAAAACCCCATTCTTTTCCTCCAGGATGAGGGACCATACCAGCTATATGCAGGAATCAAATGTTCATCGCTTCCACATTGTACCATACATCCAATCATTATATTTATGCCCTCATAAACAATCCAAGACTTAATCTCCTTCTTGAAATCTGCTTTTAGAAAACACATCCTTTTCCACACCCTTGAGATTCTTTTTCACCACATCAACTCCCTGATCCGCTATGATGTACAGATATGTCAAAATGGATGCTGTATCCATGTTGGACACTTTAAGAAATATACAAAACAACAAAAAATCAATGATTGAACGATGTTGAAAGGCATATCCCTGCATCATAGATGATCGCCATTCCATTTCTCCCACACTCAACCCCAAAGAATCCCAAGCTCCTCCTTAAAGGCCAAAGCTGTTTCACTAATAAGTGGGGTATATTTACTAGTTACAGGTCAAGAGAAGTTGAAGACTATGCATTTTGGTTTATGCTAGCATGTCAATTGAGCATTTAGAGCATGTGGTTACACTGATAGAGGGGTTAGATGGATGGTGCTATGAAAGGAAAAATTTTCGTCCTAGGGTCAATATGTTGTCCTGTCAAAGCTTTCAACATCAGCATCCTAGTCAGTTGTTGTTTGTTTCTTTGTTTAACATAAGTGCCAAATATAAGTACCACAGGACCAAATAGGAAAGAGATGTTTCAAAGAGATTACCTTTAGAATCAATGTAAAGAGCAAATAAGAAGATAAATTTCCTAAGCCTGAAGGCCATCTCATGGGACCAAGTGAAACATTTTTGGACTATAAAAAATGCATGAATAAACATATTTTGTACAAAATATGTACCTAAAACAAGGTTATTGGACACTATTTGCCCCCTTTTAAACCTAGACCGCCCAGGTTTTGGGTGGTCGCCTAGGCGCTAGGCGACCTAGACCCCCAGCTGTATAGGCGCCGCCCAGTGGTTTTTGGAACACTGGTTCTTTATCCTGACTAACTAATTTGCCTAAAAATCGGGAGTTGTTAGGGCTCAAAAGGGAAGTATGTTCTTTCCTATGGTTTGGGGCAAGAATTGATTTTCGGAAGGATCAGATCAGGTTATGGAAGGCAAAAGCTCGGTGAATTTTCCATGGTTGATAAGCTCGGTGAATTTTCCATGGTTGATAAGCTCGATGAATTTTCCATGGTTGATCATTATTTAAATAGGCAGGCCCTAGTTAAGGATGTTCATCAAGTCTCACCTTTCAATTGAATATTTTACTAATTAAGAGAAGGAAGAGCCAGTGTCAGGTGGAGTAATTGGAATAATATGAAGATGAATACAGCCCAAATTGGTACAGTGGTGTAGAGAATTCACGAATTTCTACAAGAGAGTTATCAAATACATACTTGTATTATGAGACATTTTTGGCCCAAACATTGTCACCACTAGCAGTTTGGAGTTTGATATGGTAAGTAGTGCAATGAGCATGTAAAATTCTGAAGAATTGATAAATTGAATATCCTTCCTGGATAACGTGGTATGGCCTTTCCATTGTCACTCAAATCCCCTCTTGGGAGAAGGAAAAAAGAGTATAGTTGCCCTTTAGCTACATCAAGACAAGGACCATGAATTGCCTTGTATTTTAAGTAGCTTTTACCAAAAGCCCATCAATCATAGAAGAGAATGACTTAAAAAGGATACCAAAGCTAGTATTTAAATTACTGGAATATACCAGAACAATGTGGTTACTGGCTTAGTGAAGTACTAGTTCAAGATCAAGCATAAGAGAATCATTGCCCTAAAAACAGTGCTACTTAGATGGTCTCACTATCTCATAACTATCTGACAGTAGAAATAGTAATAAAACCATTTCGTATCGTTGGATTCAACCATGCCAGCAGGAGCTAACTCAGGTAGCAGAACTTCAAACTGGTTCAGATAGAAAAACACTAAAGTGACTCCACCAGTTTGATCCTAATACTGCTATGCCCCATAGTATTAGTTGTCCTTGTCATTCATCTTTTGGTGTTTTAGCTGTCCTCAATGATGCACAAGTATGGGTACGGATATGGGCATAATTAAAACAAAATCTTTTTTTTGGTGATTTTGCATACATTTTGAAGTATGTGACAGATAGAGCACCCTTTTTGAAATATCTTTGCATCATTGTGTTCATCAAAAAAGAAAAAAAAAGGAAAAAGGATTACAGGCATTGAGCTTGAATGAGGAGTAAGTTCAGTTAAACTAGTTCAGTTAAAAGAAAAAAAAAAAAGGATTACAGCCATTGAGCTTGAATGAGGAGTAAATTCAGTTAAACTAGTTCAGTTAAACTCAATCGCATGATAATCAAATATATGTGCTAAATACCTTAGATGTTTTTGTTTTTTTCTGAGTGGGGATATTCTTTCAATATTTGTAATGCTTGAATGGGTATGGGTACGGATGTGAACATGATTAAAACAAATTTTTTTTTTGGGTGATTTTGCATACATTTTGAAGTATGTGACACAGATACAGCACCCTTTTTGAAGTATTTGTGCACCATTATGTTCATATAAAATAAACAAATAAATAAAGATTACAGTCATTGAGCTGAATGAGTAGTTAAGTTCAGTTAAACCAGCTCAGTTAAACTCAATCGCATGATAATCAAATACATGCGCTAATCAAAGTATTTGTTCAAAGATTATAGAATCATTAATCACACTATACATTGAGGAAGCCAATTAGAGGGCTATGAAGTATGAACCAGGATATTTACAAATATTGAAAGCTTTCGACATTTCTATCCAAATGTTCAACTTTCAATCCAAATAGTCTTTTTGTTTTGGTTTTTTTTTTTTTTAATTGTTGGTTGGGGGGGGGCAGAGAGAGAGAGAGATTATAATATTATAAAATTTGAGAGGTTAAGAAGCCATGTGCGGAGCTCGACAGGAGAACAGGGACAAAAAGAACTCTGAAAACATACTCCCGAATTTTGAAGCAAAAGCCCCTAAACCTAATATTGATTTAGCATATGGATGCTTTGAACTTGCATTACCAACTCTTTTGGGATAACAGAATCAAAGAGTCATGAAATTTCAGTTTCCATTGCCTTAAGTTTTCAACAAATTTACACAGGAATAGCTTGAGAACATATGCCACTAAATTGACAGATTTTTTAATCCTCATACATTCATGAACAATCTAAACCGGTTTTGAGTCCAGTTCAGGGGAATAATCCGCAATTTCCACCAATCTTTCAGATACTATGTTCAATCCAAAGTCTAAAATGCTTCCAATTAAGAAACGAAAAACTCTAAAATGGTTATGAACACATTTCAAAACATCCCTGCTAGGAAAATAATAAGCATGTTCCACAAAATATTTGGCCATGAAATTCTTTCAACAAGAAACCTAAACACTCTAAAATGCTTATGAAACCACTATCAAGAAAATGCCACCGAATTTGTACCAAATCCTCAAGCTCATTGCCGTTTGAAATTCTGCCTTGAAACACTTCCATTCTGAAACTCATAGCTCATATAAGCAAGAATGACTTGGAATTAGAATTTGAAGAGAGAGAGAGAGAGAGAGGGACAGAGAGACAGAGAGAAGAGAGATAAAGGGAGTAAACTCACCGATTCTTGCGATGCTCCTTTTATGCCAAGAAGCTGGTTGAAGCTGGAACCACCATTATTTCCACCGGGCACCTTATCCGGAGCTGAAGGTTTAACTGCCAACAATACCAAAGAACTTCTGAAGCGCACTCGATAACCAGACACAGTTGGACCGCAAAAAAACCAGTAAAGGAATATGCAATTGTAGAGAGAGAGAGAGAGAGAGAGGAGGAGGCACCTTCATTTGCATCTGTTTCTGTAGCTCTGACACTAAACCTTGGTCTTGAAGCAGGAAAAAAACGAAATTTGCGATGAATATGAAGGGATGCAGAATGCAGAGGATGGTTAACAGGTTGCAGAGAAGCTATCTTTCTGCAAGAGCCCTGGGGTTGAGGTATTCCAAGACAGGCAATCCCACTGGACAGGGAAGCCATAGTGTGTTAGAGAGAGAGGCAAGCAAGAGAGTGCAAAACGATAACGACATTGACGAGAGGTTTTATCTCTTTAACTACCGGTGCAGTGTCCGTTGCCGTTATGGAGAGAGAGAGAGAAGGCTTAGAGAGATGACTTGGAGAGACAAATAACGAGATTAGAGTGACAAAAGGGGTTAGGAAAATGTACATTTATTAGAGAGGAGTTTGAGATATAAAAGGCACAGTTAGGAGCCTGTTTGATAACGGGAAGGTAAATGTCCCAAAAAAAAAATGGAAGTTCTTTTTTTACTAGGGAAGAGCCAGTTTGATAACGGGAAGGTAAATGTCCCAAAAAAAAAATGGAAGTTCTTTTTTTACTAGGGAAGAAAGAAGTTATTTTAAAAAGTTTTAAGTGTATATATTTGATAACTTGTTGGAATGTCAAAGAAGTTCTAGACATTTGTTGGAATATCAAAGAAGTTCTAAGTACTTGTGTTTGACAACCTCCCGTCGAAATATAAAGTCATATTTATGTAAATATTATTTTTATATCAGACATAAAATAACATATAATATATATATTATATTGTAAATATCTATTACATACATAAATTATATTATACAACTAACATATATTATATTTTATATTATGTAATATATTATATTATATTAAATAAGTATATATTATATATTAGCATAAAATAGGAAAATTATTGCTAATACATCTATATTTTACTATAATTGGAAAAAAAAAAAAACTTCAATTTTTCAAAACCTTGCCTATACCCTTTCTCACAATTTTTGGCTTTTTTCGGACCAAAATAACCCTCACGGTAATCTTTTTATGATAATAGATATTAAGCTTTACGGTAATTGAAATACCGTAATAAGTTAAATGAGTATTACGGCAATCAAAATATCGTAATAACTTGAAGTAGTATTGCGGTATTTTAATTATCGTAATAGTATTACTGTACTTTAATTACCGTAACATTTTTCCTGTCAATTACAAACCCGTATTGATTGAAAAGCTTCAAACAAAGCTAATATCAAGGTTACCTCTCTCCTCCTGCGTTCTGTGAACTTGCCTTGGAAGCACTGTAATCTTCACTCTTAGGATGTTACGATCAACTCTTAGGATGAACCTTGGCCAAGATTTCACATTCTTGAGAATTTTGAGTTATACTCATTATCTAATTTCGACGAAATTTTGTAAATTTTCCAGAGAGAGATTATGGAAGAGATGCACGCCTTCCTGGGGAATGGCATGTCACGAATTGAGGTTATCTCTCTTTGTCTCTCTATAGAAATTGGTTTATCTATGTAAACCTTTTTCTTCATTGTCCCACTGTTTATGAAAATTGAAAACATTACGGTACTAAGATTGCCGTAAATAATGTGGGAACCTTTACGGTAATTTAATTACCGTAATTCTACTTCAACACGTTACGTACTTCAACATATTTCAGTATTTTACTTTATTTTATTTTTACCGTAATAATTTTTCAACGTATTACGGTATTTCAATTACCGTAAAGCTTAATATATTTTATGGTAAAAAGACAACCGTAAAGGGTATTTTCATCCTAAAAAAAGCGAAAATTCAGAAAAATGGTGCATGCGAGGTTTGGAAAGTTGGACTTTTTTTTCAATTTTATTAAAATATAGGTAGATTAGCAATAATTACCCTATAAAATAAATATATAGTAATAATTTAAATATCAATATATGATATTTATAACATACTATAATATATAATATAGTGTAGTTTATATTTATTTTATTATATAATATATAATCAAAATATATTATATTACATAAATGTATAACATATATAAATATATATTATATATAATATAATATATAACATAGTTTATTTTATTTTTATTTTTATATATAATATAGTTTATTTTATTTTTATTTGTATGTATAATATATAATATAGTGCAATTTATATTTATTTTATTATATAATATATTATAAAATATATTCTATTACATAAATATATACTATATAATAAAAATATATTAATAATTTAAATATAAATATATAATATATAACATAATATAATATATTATATATAGTATTTATATATTTATTATATTAATATGTATTTTTATTATAATAATATTATAAATATCTATTATATAAATAAAATATATTATATATTATAAAATAAAATGTAAAACATATATTATATATAACTTAATATAATATATAATATAATAAATTACTTTATTAACATTTATTTGTATTATATAATATAATATAATACAATACAAACACAAATATAAATTAATAATATCAATATAATTATAAAGAGGGAGGCATAATAGGGTATGAGGAATTAAGTTCCTATTTTAAGTTCTATCATTTTAGATGGAACTTTTTTTCTTAAACACAAGGGAACAAAGAAATTCTAGGTGGAATTTCAGTACTGTATAAGTTCCAAGCATCAAACACATAACTTGTGCAGTAATTAATAGTAATGGCGAAGTTCCTTCTTCCTCCCCTAACTTCCTATTATCAAAGTGGGAACAACTTCCTATTATCATGGTGGGAACATTTAGTGGAAGAATAAGGTCAGAGTGGGAACATTTAGAAAGAGAAAGAAGTGGCACATTTAGAGGGAGTATAAGGTCAGAGTGGGACAGAGGAAGGTTAGAAAGATAACTTTATAGAGAGTTGAAAGTCAGGCATAGTTAAAAGAGAGTAAGTATGATTAGAGAATGAAATGAGTCAAAGAGTTAGAGCTAATGAGCATGATTAGAGAGACGATTTAGGGCTAGAAAAGGCGCCACTGATAAAGAATGGGTATAGTTTCTGGAGAGTTAGAGAGAGAAAGGGGCAGGTTAGAGAGTGAAAAGTAGAAAGTGACACCATTGGAGAAGATTGAGGCCCTAAACAATCAAAGTAGGCGCACCTTGTGTTGAAAGGTATTGTTTCAGTATTGAAAATATTTATAATGGCCTACAAATTTGTTTTCATCTCTAATTATAAAATTTTAAGCTTAAAAAATAGTATAAATCGAGCATATTAATGAACGTATGAAAATCTTGAAAATTGAAGATCAAAAAATATAGTACAAAATGTACTATTTTCAATACTTGAAATCTATTTCTTTTCATGTCAAATAGATCTTGAAGTCAAGATGATCGATTTAAATATTTTTTAGCATCAATACCTCTCCTAACGAATTTTTGAGGTGCACCTTAATTTAATTGTTTAGGGTCGGCCCTTATATAAATTTTTTCCTTTATATAAAAAATGAGTTAAAGAAAGAAACACATCAGAGAAAAAGGAGTTCGAGATAAAACTTATGAGAGAGATAATTCAAAGAGAAAATTACATATAACCTTTAAGAATAGACTTTTTATCCAACTTACTCCAACCACTTTTTTTTTCTCACTTTTTACCCCAAGCTTTTTTAGAAAATACCCCCCCTAAGTCATAGAAAAAAAAATAAAGACCACAATACCCTCTAGAAAGCATATGGTCCTGTACAAAATAAGGGTGGTCCAACACTTTGCTTCTAGAAAGCATGCGGTCTGGTACAAAATAGGGACAGTCTGGCACAAAATGGGGGCAGTTTAACACTTTGCTTTTGGAAAACATGCGGTCCGACGTAAAATAGGAGAGATCTGGCAATTGGGCATACAGTCCAACACAAAATGGGGGTGGTTCGACACTTTGCGCTTCTGGAAACCATGCGGTCAAACACAAAATAGAGGCGGTCCAACACTTTGGACATGCAGTCCGACACTATGGGCATTTTCGTTAAAAAATATTACTTTTTGATTTGGGGGTATTTGCTATAAAAGTTCAATTTGGGGTACAATTTGCTTAAAAACTCATTGGAAATAGGTTGTCTGGAAAGACTTTTTTGTAAGTGTAATTATCGCAAATATACCTATATTTTAGCTTAATTAGAAAAAAAAAAAACCCAACTTTCAAAAACCTAGTCTACACCCTTTTGCTTCATTTTCGAGTTTTTTTTTAATAAATGACCTTCACGGTAGTCGTTTTACTGTAATTCATATTAAGTTTTATGGTAATTAAAATACCGTAATAACTCGAAGTAGTATTACGGTGATTAAAATACCGTAATAACTCGAAGTAGTATTACGGTGATTAAAATACCGTAATAACTCGAAGTAGTATGACGGTGATTAAAATACCGTAATAACTCGAAGTAGTATTACGGTAATTAAAATACCGTAATAATTTGAAGTAGTATTACGGTACTGTAAGTACTGTAATAGATAACATTTTCTTTACTGCATTATTCTACCATAATTAGGCACCATGTAAAGCTTCCTTCTCCACCAATGAGGGAGAGGAGAGAGATAAGATTTGGAAGAGAGAGGGGTTTTACATGTAAGAGAGAGATATTTGAGAGAGAAAGAAGGAAAGAAAAGTAGCATGGAGAGAAAGACAGAAAGTTTAGGGATGGATGGAGATGAAATAGAGATAAGGACGGGATAGAGATGGTTTGTTGGGGCGATTGAGAGAGATAGAGGGGGAAAGTTGAGACAAAGAGGGGTACGTGGGACTAAAAGTGCCCTATAAAATGAGTTAAACATTATGGTAGTTAAAGTATCGTATAAAATGAAAACATTACAGTTACAGTACTTAAAGTACTATAATACTACTTCAAGTTATTACGGTATTTTAATTACTGTAATACTACTCAAGTTATTATGGTAGTTTAAATACTGTAAAACTTAATATGAATTATGGTAAAACGACTACTGTGAAGGTTATTTTCGTAAAAAAAAAATCCAAAAATGAAGAAAAATGGTGTAGACGAGGTTTTTGAAAATTGGGGTTTTTTTTTCCAAATAAGCTAAAATATAGGTATATTTATAATAATTTCCCTTTTTGTAATTTTCTCCATTGTAAAAAGAGAAATGACATGATTAAATAGAAAACCACTTAGAAAAAGTTAAAGCAAGGACATGATTAGATAGAAAAACCACCTAAAAAAGGTTTGAGCAAAGAGGTGACATTGAACACATAAAAGGAAGGTGACATGTGAATGTCCTAAAAAACAAAATCAGCGATTATCCATTGGGAGATAAAAGGTACAATGCCTCATTTTTTTTTGAGAAAAATACATACATATCCGTTATACTTTACGTTATTATGATTACACCTAATAGTTTCCGTTATTACTCATCTGTCCGTTTTTTATCTTCCATAACGTGTTTTTTTTAAAAGACATTTTTTCCCTTTTTCAGATATTCAACATCCGAATTTGTGAAAATTTCAGATGTTCAACATCCGAAACAACCGCGGCTACAACAGTGACTTTTCTCAATTTTGGATGTTGAACATCCAAATTTTTCACAAATTCGGATGTTGAACATCCGAAATTAAAATTCTGAGAATTTCTGATATTCAACATCTGAAATATTTGCACGCCAACATTTCCCACGCACAGGTGGAAATTTATTTTTATAAAGTTGGGAAAAAGCAATCATTGAAGCATCGTACTCCCTTTACTGTCCCTTGATACAGTAACCGACAAAGTTAAAGAAATTGAATCACTATTTGGACATGATTGGTACCGTTCTTACTCTTTCTTTATACGGTTGAATAATATATCTACTATTATTTAGAATATTTTATTTTGTGGATAACATTTGTTGTGTATTTTTTTATTAATAAATGAAATTTGTTTAATATTGATGATGTTGTTTTTTTATATAATTATTTGTTGTTTGTATCTTGTTGATACATTGTATTCCTTGTTTTGGCTAAATAATTGTTAAACTTGTTTGTTTGAATTAAAATTCGTTGTTTATTTTGTGTTTATGTGAGTATTTTTGTTTTCTTTTGCTTAATGTTTATTACTCACAATTTTAGTAGTACACTATTTCAATCTATTATGTAATACTTAGACTTTATGAACCCTAAAGTAGTTAGAAATAATTTTTTTGTATTAATTTTTTGTAACACTAATTTTGCTATTCATATAATACATGACTATTGACGATGGCTACTGACAATTTTAGTAGTACACTATTTCAATTTATTATGCAATACTCAGCTTTTATGAACCCTAAAGTAGTTAGAAATATACCATTTTTTTGTAGTTTTTTTTTATTGATTTTTTGTAACACTAACTTTGCTATTCATTTAATACAGTAGTATTGATGATGGCTACTGAGGGAGTGCTACTGGTATTCCGATATAGGGGGTCATTTGAGACGAATGCAGATGACGAACGTGTTATTTATAAAGGAGGAAAATTGAAGGTCGTCAAGTATAATGGGAATAGTTCCTTGGAGGAACTAAAAAGTCATTTTGCAAATTTAATCAAGTGTAATCCAAACAAATTAGTTATTATGTACCACAACGCAAGTCTACTAGTGGGCTTGATTTGATTGATGTTAGTGATGATATAGATGTATCTTTTGTGTTGGGAGGGGAATCTTCGAAAATTGTAGTATATATTACCGAGGCACAACAAGAATCTGTTATTGAAGGCCCATCTTCAAGGAATAGGTATATCTACAATTTATTTTTTATCTGTAAATTGCTTTATTTTAATCGTATATGTGCAAAAATTATCGCTTCATCTTACACTCTATTTTTTGTCAACAATCGGCATCACGCTTTACCTGAGCAAGATCAAAACATTGGAGTGGTGCCCAACCCTGAGCTCGTACCAGAGCGTGATATGACGGACATTGAACCACTAGAGAGTCCATGTAGAGGAGTTGGTAACGAGGTTCAATTGAATGTTGGGCAATTTTTTGAAAATGTTAATGAATGTCGGCATCATCTAGTTGATTTTGCAATCCACAATAATTTTATTTTGAAGTTTGGCAAAACTGAATTAGGACAGGTGTGGGCAAGTTGCAAGGCAAATGGATGCACATGGCAAGTGCGGTACTTACGAGTTGGCAGCACCGCATACTTTAAGTGAAGTCTATGGGTAAGGAGCTCACATGTAGTGGTCTAATGGAGAGGGTCCATCAGACACTAGCTCCTAGTGATTGGGTGCCAAAAAATATTAAAGGTCGTCTTCTTGACCAACCAAAAATTAAAGCAAAAGACATTATAAATGATGTTCAACGTGATCACGGGGTCAAGCTTTCCTACATGCAAGCTTGGCGGGGAAAAGAGGTTGTTAGAGAGATGATAGATGGATCACATGAACAACAATACTATGACCTCCCCCTGTATATTGAGAAGATCAAAAGAACCAACCCGTGAACCGAAGTTCCCATCCACACAAATGAAGGCAGGTTCAAAAGACTATTTATTGCCGATCGTCCATGCATTATGGGGTCTATTAATGGATGCAGGGCATGGATTGGTATTAATAAAACCTTCCTAAAAAGAAAGTATCAAGGCATTTATTGTGCATCATCGCGTTAGATGTAAATAATGGGCTCTTCCCATTGGCATTTGTAGTGGTTGAGAAGGAGAATTACCAGAGTTGGTGTTGGTTCTTAAGTATATTGAGTGAGCTATTGAATGGGTACCCTAATCTGTATACCTTAACTATTATATCAAATCGACAGAAAAGCCTACCAGAAGCAATACAAAAATGCTTTCCAATATGTTTTCCATCATTTTGGATGCGACATATGGGAGAGAACTTCAAGGGCTTTATAAAGAGGTCAGCAAATAGTGAAGTATTGATGATGCTGTTTTTGAAGGTTGCTCGTAAAGCGATCATTGGTGGCTTTGAAAAAATAAAGTTTGATATACATTGTGCCGACCCAAAAGCATATGATTGGATTAAGAATATTCCACCCAAATATTGGGCAGATGCCTATTGTTCAAGGTCTAGATACAGTCATCTTACCTCAAACATGGCCGAGTCTTTCAATGCTTGGATTTTATCAGCTCGAGAGAAGCCAATCATTACAATGTATGAAGAAATAAGGGTACAGTTGATGACCAGGTTTGAAGAGAAGAGTGAGTTAGGTAATAGTTGTAGAGGCATGCTAGTACCGAAGGCCCAAGAATTACTTGACACAAGAAAGATGAAGGTTCGATTTTTTCACATAGTTATATCCGCCATTGACACGCAGTTTGAGATCTAGTATCTTGAGAAGAAGTACGTTGTCGATTTAACACATTGATATGCAGTTATAAAAAATGGCAACTCAGTGGCATTTCATGTGCCCATGCTATTGTGGCCACTAACCATATGTATTTAAATCCCATTGTGTACTGCTTTAAATATTTTACAGTAGAATACTTTAGAAGAGCATTTGAAACTCCCTTTGCCCCTGTCCCGGATGATATTGAGTTGACAAATATTTACAACCAGACAGTGTTGCCACCAAGGACTACACGCCTTCTCGGTAGGCCAAAAACGCAACGAAGGATATACAGGACAAAACATTCGATCACCAGGCATTTCAAGTGCAAACAATGTGGCGCAGAGCGTCATAATAAGGGGACATGCAAAGAACCGATAGAGTGAACTTGATGTTAATATTGTACTCTTGTATGGAATTATGATTTTCATAAATTAATAAATTGAGTGAATATAGTGTTTTTGTTGTCAAAATTGTGTCAGTGCAATTGGAATTTGTTGTTGTCATAAATCTTAAAATGGAGAATTTAGAGCCCCTTCTGAAATTATGAGTTTGTCAATCGTTGTTATCATGTCCAAGCATCATTCTCATGTCCATGCATCAAATCTTAGGGTCCATTTTTTTATCATGTCAATGCATCTTGATGATGTCCATATGATCAATCCAATGTTTAAACAACTTTCGGATGTTGAACATATGAAAATAGCATAGTTTTGGATGTTGAACATCCAAAACTAGCACGGTCAAAATCCAAGAAGTTCTGGATTTTGGCAATCAGTTTTTTGATGTTGAACATCCAAAAATGGCGTATTTTCGGATGTTTAACATCTGAAAATAACACTGTCAAAATCCAAGAAGTTCTGGATTTTGGCAGTCAGTTTTCAGATGTTGAATATCCGAAAATATCACATTTTGACAGGGAAATTTTTTCGGATGTTCAACATTCGAAAACTAACTGCCAAAATCCAGAACTTCCTAGATTTTGACAGTGCCATTTTCGGATGTTGAACATTTGAAAATATGCCATTTTCGGATTCAACATCCGAAAATGTTTTAAGTTGCTATATACATTAAACAACATTCATCAATTGAATGTATAAAC